GAGGGCAGCTGCCTCTGTGTGTGGGTTCTTACAGGCTTGTGTGGATGAGGGCCCCCATCAGTGGGCCAGCAGGTATGGACTGAGTGCCTGCTCCGTGCCAGGCAGTGTGCGCAGGGAAAGGACACAGCAGTCGCCCAGTCGTGTCTGACTCTTTGTGACCCCATGAACTGCAGCACTCCAGGCCCCTCTGTCCATCACCAACTCCCAGAGTTTATCCAAACTCATGCCCATCGAGTGGGTGATGCCATCCAACCTTCTCATCCTCTGTCGTCCCCTTCTCCTCCTGCCCCCAATCCCTCCCAGCATCGGGGTCTTTTCCAGTGAGTCAACTTCGTCGCATGAGGTGGCCAAAGTATTGGAGTTTCAGCTTCAGCATCAGTCCTTCCAATGAACACCCAGGACTGATCTCCTATAGGATGGACTGGTAGGATCTGCCTGCAGTCCAAGGGACTCTCAAAAGTCTTCTCCAACACCACAGTTCAAAAGCATCAATTCTTCGGCGCTCAGCTTTCTTCACAGTCCAACTCTCACATCCATACATGACCACTGGGAAAACCATTGCCTTGACTAGACGGACCTTTGCTGGCAAAATAATGTCTCTGATTTTTAATATGCTACCTAGGTTGGTCGTAACTTTCCTTCCAAGGAGTAAGCGTCTTTTAATTTCATGGCTGCAGTCACCATCTGCAGTGATTTTGTAATCCAAAAAAATAAAGTCTGACACTGTTTCCACTCTTTCCCCATCTATTTCGCATGAAGTGATGGGACCAGATGCCATGATCTTGGTTTTCTGAATGTTGAGCTTTAAGCCAACTTTTTTCACTCTCCTTTTTCACTTTCATCAAGAGGCTTTTTAGTTCCTCTTCACTTTCTGCCATAAGGGTGGTGTCATCTGCATATCTGAGGTTATTGATATTTCTCCTGGCAATCTTGATTCCAGCTTGTGCTTCTTCCAGCTCAGCATTTCTCATGATGTACTCTGCATATAAGTTAAATAAGCAGGGTGACAATATATAGCCATGACGTACTCCTTTTCCTATTTGGAACCAGTCTGTTGTTCCATGTCCAATTCTACCTGTTGCTTCCTGACCTGCATACAGGTTTCTCAAGAGGTAGGTCAGGTGGTCTGGTATTCCCATCTCTTTCAGAATTTTCCACAGTTTATTGTGATCCACACAGTCAGAGGCTTTGGCATAGTCAATAAAGCAGAAATAGATGTTTTTCTGGAACTCTCTTGCTTTTTAGATGATCCAGCGGATGTTGGCAATTTGAAAAGGGAAAGGACAGGGCAGTCTGATCCCCTGCCTTCTTGGAGTCAGGTGGACATGAACAAATATGTGCATGCATCCTCAGTCGCTCAGGCATGCCTGACTGTTTTTCGATCCCATGGACTATAGCCCGCCAGGCTTTTCTGTCTATGGGATTCTCCAGGCAAGAATACTGGAGTGGGTTGCCATTTCCTTCAGGGGATCTTCCAGACCCTTTTCCTGCATTGGTGAGCAGATTCTTTACCGCCTGTGCCGCCAGGGAGCAGGGGATGAGAGCCTCTGCCTTTGCAGAGCAAGCCTTCATTCTGTCTGCAGTTTATGGAGCATCCGTGTGCTTGGTGAGAGGACCGGGCATGAGGACCTACCCCCAGGAAGCCTGCAGCCTTTCCAGGAATGTGAGAGAATGATGCTGGTATGAAGTGGAGGTGCCCATGGAGGGGCAACTAAACCCCACCGGGGAAGTCAAGGCAGTGTTCTAGAGGGAGTGAGGGAGGGGCCCATGTGCAATTTTCAAGGCCATGTGGGATGGTTGAGTGAAGCAGGTGGGGATTGGATAGAAGCCGCTGTCTAAGTGAAAGGACAAGCTGTAAAGCTTTAAATACTGTAGGAGATTATCTTTATGACCTCAGGGGAGGGAGGTATTTCTTCAAACCAAGGAGCACTAATTCTCATTTGTCACCTTGTGACACAATGTTGCTGATCTTGATCTTCACATAGATGGGATGAAACTGTATGTACTTTCCTGCAAAATAATATATACATATACTTTTTGACTTGTCTATGTATATGTATCAGTAATTTGTTCCTTATTTGTTGCTAAGAAGCTTTCCATATGTAAAAGTTAAAGTGTTAGTTGTTCAGTCGTGTCTGACTGTTTGTGACCCCATGGACTGTAGCCCACCAGGCTCCTCTGTCCATAGAATTTTCCAGGCAAGAATATTGAGTGGATTGCCATTGCCTTCTCTAGAGCATCTTCCCAACCCGGGGATTGAACCCGGGTCACCTGCATTGTAGGCAGTTTCTTTACTGTCTGAGCCAGCAGGGAAGCCCAGCTTTCCATTTAATAATATCATCATTTATTCACCCATCTCTTGTTGATCGACATTTAGGTCATTCCAATTTTTGATTTTCCTTAAGTTTTTAAGATGCATTGTTCAGTTAGACGTGTATGGGAGGAAATTTTCATTAACATGCTAGGTTATTTAAGGAGTTGGGCAAAGTATGGCCAGAATTATAAGTGTTTATTCTCCGGAATTAAAGACATTGACAGTATGTTTGATGTCAACAAATTTGGAAATAAGATGGCACATTTGGCAACACAAAAGACAACTGGACAACACAGTAGTAGCTCCCTTACTGAAACAGGTTGGGTAATATTGTGGTTAATACTGTGGCCTTTATTTTGGGGCAATTCTGCAGAGCCTGGTTCTGCTGCTAACTATAATTTTGGCAAGTTACTTAATTCTTCTGAGCTTCTTTTCTCTTCTATGTGTTAGGAATAAAGTGCCTATCTCGCAGAAATGTAAGAATTCAATAGAATGATATTTGTAAAGGACCTGATTTAGGGCCTTGTGCAAAGTGCATGCTCAGTAATAAATGTTCACTAGTGATAATACAGACTTTCCAGGCGGTGCTAGTGGTAAACAACTTGCCTGCCAGTGCATGAGACATAAGACATGTGGGTTTGATTCCTGGGTCAGGAAGATCCCCTGGAGGAGGGCACAGGAACCCACTCCAGTATTCTTGCCTGTAGAATCCCATGGACAGAGGAACCTGTCAGGCTATGGTCCATGGGGTTGCAAAGAGTCAGACACGACTGAGGCGACTTAGCACAGCACACAGATAATACAATCTTTGGTAAATCTCACCAGCGAGCAACTCAGAGAAGGGCACATATTAGGACTTGGACTTGCTGAATTAAAGCAGAACTCTCCAAGTGATTAAAAAGTTTGAGAAAGACAAGGGACTGTTACCCCCTTCCCTCTTCATTGCCCCATAATTCCCTAACTCGAGGTTGAAGGGCAGAGGGTCAGGGGTGTGTTCTTTGGGGCCAGCACACCCCTGGGTAACGTGTGTGGGCAGTTGCTTCACCCCTGACATTCACAATTATTTCACAAATCATGGAATTTTTCTTGGGGATAACATTACATAACTTTGCTACAGAACATCTCGCCCCATCACATAACACATTGGGATGACATTTCGGTGGTTTTGTGGGACACTCATGCTAATGTTATTTTGCTACTGAATGGCACACTTTAGAGATATTACAGAAAACAATATTTTTTAAAAGTCTGTTAAATACTGTCAAGAAGAACATAAGGATGACCAGAATGAATTGAAAAGAAAGCTAAACCTGCAGTAGAGGAAACCACTGTTTATTTTCTGTAGAAGCCTGGCTGAAAGAATACACTGTGGAGGGGGACACATGGGCTAGTCATGTACTGCTCTGTGACAGGTTACTCCCACATAGCGGCCTCAGACAAAAATGTCTGCTGTCTCACGGTGTCTGTGGGTCAGGAATCTGGCATGGCTGGATGGGTGTTTCTGCCTCAGGGTCTCAGAAGTGCTGCAGTGTGGACCAGGGCCGCAGTCTCATCCGAAAGCCCGAGGAGGCCAGGATCCCCACTCAGGCTCACGTGTGTGGTTGGCAGCAGGATTCAGGTCTTCATGGGCTGTTGGTTGGACACCCTTACTTCCTAGCCCCATGGGCTGCTCCGCTGGTTGGATCACTTCCATCTGAGGGTGAGAGAGCCAAAGAGGGTGAGAAAGGGTCAGTGCAGGCTTTTTGTCACCTCAGCTCATCTCCCGTCATTTTTGCCATATTCTGTTGATTAGAGGCAAGTCTTTTGTAGATCCAGCCCTCAGGGAGGGGCTTTCAGCAGTGCAGTACTGGGAAGTGGGGATCCTTAGGGCCATTTCCAAGGGACATTGATGTCCCTCCCACCTGTAGAGCACACTCACCCCGTCCCAGGATCCCCAGTCGTCTTGCCCCATTTGAGCATTAGCTCAAAGTCCAGGATCTTGTCATCTAATCCAGGCCCAGGTGGGGATGAGGCTTTAGGGACTAAAAACACAGCTTGAATTTACCACTCTGTTAACTATTTACATAGCGTTTACATTGTACTTACAACTACTTACACAGACTTTTATACTAGCACTGAAGCATTTTTACATAAGGGACTTGAACATCCTGGAATTTCAGTATCTGCGGGGATCCTAGAACCAACCCAGGATGACTATGGTTTAGACAAGTTCCTGTGGGAAGAACTGGGTCAACCTCGTGATCAGACCTGTTCTTTCATGACTGTAAACCAGTTCACGGAGTTGTGAAGGGAGCCTGTGAGCACATTGTTGACCCCCAGCTCGGGTTCACTGCTCCGCCTGCACCAGCTTTAGGCTTAGCAGGATGTCCTTCTGTTCTGTCCTGTGACCAGCATGGAAACTAGTCTCTTTACCTCCTCAGCTGTTTCCCCATCTGTATCAGGTATAAACAAAGGTGCTGGGTTAGAGGGTATTGGAGGCCCTTTGTGCCCTGATGGTGTATACATCAGGTGCAGGGTCAGAGCTGTGCTTTCCCCACTGTGTCCCCCAGCATGTGGCTGGACCGGGTTCAGTAAATAATGGTTGAGTGGCTCCCACGCTGAAGTGCACCTCCAACTGTGATGTGGCATGCTGCCTCCCTGCCCGGCCTCCACCCCTAACTCACCTCCTTCTGGTCCTTCTTGGCAGGCCAAGTGCAGGAACATGGATCACGCGCTGCGGGAGAAAGCCAAGGCCTTCTGCGCGATGCAGCGCTCCTACGAGGCCATCGCCAAGCACAATCAGGTGAGTGAGCACTGGGGCTGAGGGTGCAGATGGGTACCTCTGGGACTACTGTGGGTCAGAGGTGTGGGTGGGCTGGCCCTGGCCATGGCTGCTGCTACAGGGCCAGCCTTCACCAGCCCTGCTGGCGAGCACAGCCGTGCCCTTGCGTGCTGATTGTGACTTCGTGGCATCTTTAAACACCTGGGCGTGGCCATGCTAGCAACCACCGAGTGGCTTCCGCAGCCCCCTGTGCCTGTGAACTCAGACTGATCACAGGTGCATGCTGCACCACCTGCTGGGGTGTTCAAACCAGCGACGCCCCCATTCTCACACCTCACGTCCACTGTCTCCAGAATGCACCTGTCCACTGAGCGCCCTCTCCACTGCCAGCATCTGTTCCAGGTCCCTGTCGCTGCTGCCTGCCCTCCTACGTGGGTCCCGTGCTTTCGCTCTTGTATGCAGTCCACACTCCTTGCAGTGGACTGATCTTTTGAATAAAATAGATGGGTTCTGTCACTCCTCTGCTTAAAACTGTCCGGTTCAAGCTCCTCACCAGGGCTTCGAGGGCCCTCATCCAAGCCCCATGCTGCCAGCTTCCTCTCCCCCCAGGCGTGGCCCGTGCCGACTGCCTGGCCGGCCTGGTATGGGACGCAGTGGGGATGCCTGCATTGTGTCCATATGTCCAAAAGACAACCCTGTCTGTGCATCCAGCTGCTGTAGAATTCTCACGTAGTTGTGGAGAGTCCAGGATTCTGGCTTGACTAACGCTTTTCCTCTCAGTTCAGTCCATCCTGGTGGATGAGAGGTGAAAGTTTGTGTCTTTCCCTTTACTGAGAGGCTCCATGGCCAGTGTGAGGCTGGCTGGAGCTGGCTTTGCACTGGTTGGCTTTTCCTGCCCACTCTGTTTTTTATCCCCCTGTGTGATAAGAATCCTCCCAATTTCACTCTCTCCCACTGTGCATTGCCAGTCTTTTTACTGATGTTTCAGCAGTGCCGTCTCCGCCTATGCTTTTCTTTGACTATTAGTAAGTGTGTGCTTCCTTTCATAAGAATAACAGCCATCTGTATTTCTTCTGTGAATATTCACATTCTTTTTCTTGGGATGTTTGTCTTTTTTTCTTACAGAGACTTAAGAGCACTTTGTATATGAGGAATAACAATCTCATATATGTTGGAAATATTTTCCTAGTTTGTCCCTTTTCAATAAATCGTGTGTGCTCAGTCTTGTCCAACTCTTCGCGACCCCAGGGACTGTAGCCCTCCAGGCTCCCCTGTCAGTGGGATTTTCCAGGCAAGAATACTGGTGTAGGGTTCCATTTCCTCCTCCAGGGGATCTTCCTGACCTAGGGATTAAAGCCTTGTCTTCTGCATTGGCAGGCAGATTCTTTACCACTGTGTCATCTGGGAACCCTTTCAATAAATCATTCCCCTCCCTTTTTGGTCATTTCCTCCTGTCCAGTGAATCATTTTGTCATGTTAGCATGTTATTGATTCAGTTTTAAAATAAATACTTTCTACTATTTTTTTGGGTAAGCATCTACAGTATCTATCAAATTTGAAGTCCTAATATTGGAAGGGAAGTGATTTTTAAAAATCGTTGCTGTTTGCAACAGTTCATTTCTGTGATTCAGAGTTTCCCTCACTATCGTACAACCTGTGCAGGTACAAAATATTTTTGAGGAATTTATAGAGTTACAGTTGTCCTCTATCAGCATTGATTTTGTTTTATTTATTTATCTAAACAGTCTCATTATGCTGTTTGACTTTTTTATTTAAAACATTTCTTTTTTTTAAAAAACTTTTGGCCGCACCCCGGGGTCTTCGTTTGGGCGGACCAGCTTCGTTGCCCCGATCCATATGGGATCTACCTCCCATGCACTAAGAGGGGATTCTCAACCACTGGACCACCAGGGAAGTCCCTGTGGTGTTTGTCTTACTTTAAACTTAGAAATAGGTGCTAAGAAAGCTGCATCTATATTTTATCTTCGGAGCTTCTGCACGTGATTTCTTTCTTTTTTTTTTTTTTTCTTTTTTTCTTTTTTTTTTTTTTAATTTATTTATTTATTTATTTTTATCACTGAAACTAGAACACTTTCTAACACCATACACAAAAATAAACTCAAGATGGATTAAAGATCTAAATGTAAGACCAGAAACTATAAAACTCCTAGAGGAGAACATAGGCAAAACACTCTCCGACATAAATCACAGCAGGATCCTCTATGACCCACATCCCAGAATTTTAGAAATAAAAGCAAAAATAAACAAATGGGACCTAATGAAACTTAAAAGCTTTTGCACAACAAAGGAAACTATAAGCAAGGTGAAAAGACAGCCCTCAGATTGGGAGAAAATAATAGCAAACGAAGCAACAGACAAAGGATTAATCTCAAAAATATACAAGCAACTCCTCCAGCTCAACTCCAGAAAAATAAATGACCCAATCAAAAAATGGGCCAAAGAACTGAACAGACATTTCTCCAAGGAAGACATACAGATGGCTAACAAACACATGAAAAGATGCCCAACATCACTCATTATCAGAGAAATGCAAATCAAAACCACAATGAGGTACCATTACACACCAGTCAGGATGGCTGCTATCCAAAAGTCTACAAGCAATAAATGCTGGAGAGGGTGTGGAGAAAAGGGAACCCTCTTACACTGTTGGTGGGAATGCAAATTAGTACAGCCACTATGGAAAACAGTGTGGAGATTTCTTAAAAAGCTGGAAATAGAACTGCCATATGACCCAGCAATCCCACTTCTGGGCATACACAATGAGGAAACCAGATCTGAAAGAGACACGTGCACCCCAATGTTCATCGCAGCACTGTTTATCATAGCCAGGACATGGAAGCAACCTAGATGCCCATCAGCAGACCAATGGATGAGGAAGCTGTGGTACATATACACCATGGAATATTACTCAGCCATTAAAAAGAATTCATTTGAATCAGTTCTAATGAGATGGATGAAACTGGAGCCCATTATACAGAGCGAAGTAAGCCAGAAAGATAAAGACCATTACAGTATACTAACACATATATATGGAATTTAGAAAGATGGTAACGATAACCCTATGTGCAAAACAGAAAAAGAGACTCCTATGTATAGAACAGACTTGTGGACTCTGGGAGAAGGCGAGGGTGGGATGTTTCAAGAGAACAGCATTGAAACACGTATATTATCTAGGGTGAAACAGTTCACCGGCCCAGGTTGGGTGCATGAGACAAGTGCTTGGGCCTGGTGCACTGGGAAGACCCAGAGGGACTGGGTGGAGAGGGAGGTGGGAGGGGGGACCGGGATGGGGAATACATGTAAAAAAAAAAAAAGAAAAGATACACGTGATTTCTTTTTTAAAAAAATAGAGTTCCTTCGCTAAACACCTGGGGTCACCGGCTGCTTGGTGGCTGAGGCTCCGCCCCACTTCTCCCCCTGCCTGGCCCGCCCCACCTCTCCCCCGCCCGGCCCCGCCCTGTGCTGCAGGTGGAGGCCGCCTGGCTGGAAGCACGGATCCGGCGGGAATTTGACAAGCTCCGCGAGTTCCTGCGCGTGGAGGAGCAGGCCATCCTGGACGCCATGGCCAACGAGGCAAGGCAGAAACAGCACCTGGCGGAGGAGAAGATGAAGCAGCTGAGGGAGGACACGGAGGCCTTGGCCCACGAGATTGAGCGGCTGCAGATGGAGATGAAGGAGGATGACGTTTCCTTTCTCATGGTGAGGAGTGCAGCGTCCAGATCTAGTGACAGGGGCCAGATGTCAGAGGCCAGTGGGGACCCTGAGATCAGCAGCCCTGGCTATATTGTTTTTTAAAATATCTATTTATTTATTATTTTAAAGTATTTATTTTGGGGGTGGTATTGCCATCTTAACAATATTATTAATAATTTGATTATAGCAATATTAACCTTGATATTATTAATTTAATAATATTAAACTTCTGATCCATGAACATGGGATATATGACTCCTTTTGAGGTCAGAGATTTATATGTTTCTGTGTCTACATTTGTGTGTCTGGTTTTTTCTTTTTCAGAAACACAAGAGCCGAAAACGCCGGTAAGTTGCCAAGTCCGGTAGGGGGACGGGAAGCATAGGCAGAAATACCAGGGGTGCAGCCTCAGATGACCCCCAGGCCAGGCAGGTGGTGAAGCCAGCTGGTGCAGCACTGAGGCAGCAGTGGGACCAGCCAAGTGGAGAGTCCTCTTTCAAGACACCGACTTCCAGTCTGCACTGGTGTAGTGTTGTCTTCCTGAGGGTGGAGTGTGACCATCTACTATGTGGGGGGAGATTGTCATCCTGCATGGGGCTCGTAGTTCTCTGACGGTCAGCCCAACATTTAACCTTGTTTCTTGGTCAGCCTCCTCCCTCTGACAGTCTCAGGACATACTGGTTTGTGTTGATGGTTGTTGGGGTCACGGAGATGAATATGGAATAACTGTGTCCCAGTCAGAGCTGTACAAAGATGGAAGAGAATGCTTTGGGTGGTAGTGAATCCCCTGTCACTGGATGTGTTCAAGCAAAGGCCAGTGACACTTTCAAAATGTGGGACTAGAAGGCCCCTAAGGTGCCTTCCGACTCAGACATCCTATGAGTGGATGTATATGTATCATTTCTGCTCACACACAATGAAACCTTGTCTGAGAATCTCCTGTTTATATTTATCCCGGCGAGGGCAGGAAGGGCTCTAGTACTGAATCCTGAAGGGTGTGAGCTGCCCAATTGGCTCCTAGTTCTTCTCCCATCAGAGCCCACTGTAGGTTTGTCTTGGGTAAGGCAGCCAGGGAATGTAGGCCTGAGGCAAGGGATCCTGTGTCCAGCTGACCCAGTTAGGCCCAGAACACCTGGCCCTGGCCCTGCCCCCCAAGCCCACTTCTTCCCCAGCCTCTTCTGCACAATGGAGCCGGAGCCCGTCCAACCCGGCATGCTTATCGATGTCTGCAAGCACCTGGACTCCCTCAGGTACCGCGTCTGGAGGAAGATGGTTATGTGTGTCGAATCTGGTGAGTGGGGGCCCCAGGCCGGTGTGAGAGGCTGGAGGAGGTCTTGCTGGGCAGAGGGCCAGCTGAACCCACTCCTTCCCGCTTCCTGCCCCATAAGACCTCCTCCTCCCCGCACTTGGTCCCTTTTCCAGCCTCTTTCACTCAGGTCCCTGTGCCCTGCTCTGCTCCATGTCCTGCTGCTCAAACCATTCCTGACAGAGCACCTTCCTCTTTTGGGTCGTGACACTTGGCCACCTCTCTGGAAAGAGCAGCTGACTTCCCTTTCTATTTAGAACCATATTGTATATATAATGAAAGAGAAGAGCTCCTCAGTTTAGGGCCGCCTCTCCCAAGGTGATTCTAGCCCATGCAAGTCACTGTGGACTGAAGGTGTCCCCGACCAAATTCATATGTTGAAGGCCTAACCTCCATGTGATGGAATTTGAAAGCAGGGCCTTTGGGAGGTGATCATAATTAGAATTGGTCATGTGGGTGGGGCCCTCTGATGATCATATTAGTGCCCTTTTAAGAAGAGACACCAGAGAGCTGGCTTCTTTTCCGTCTCTCCCTCTGCCTTATAAGGACACGGTAAGAAGGCAGCCATCTATAAACCAAAAAGAGGGCCCTCACCAGAATCTAAGCATGCTCGAACCCTGGTCTCAGAATTCCAGAAGCAGAACCATGAGAAATAATTGTCCTGTTGTTTAAGCCACCCCATCTCGGATACATTTGCAGTAGCATCCCAGACTGAGATATGATTTTATGGGGAGAAATGTCAGTGACCAGGGCCATGTCACATGCTTTTCTAAGGTGGTTCAGGCATCTTGTGAGGTTCACTGGCTTCCTGAGGCTATCCTCACAAAAGACTGAAGTCTGGATGCTTTAAAATGACAGAATTTTATTCTCCTGGTTCCAGAGGCTAGAAGTCTAAAGCCAAGGTGTCCACAGGGCCACATTCCCTCTGAAACCTGTAGGGGAGGATCCTTCTTTGCCTCTTCCTAAATTTTGGTATTTTCTGGTGAGCTCAGCACAGGCAGTTGCAGCACTGTCACCTGTGCCTCCATCATCAGAGGGCTTTTCCCTTCATGTGAGTGGTTTTCTCCTTTTTTTTATAAGGACAACAGTTATATTGGATCAAGGGCCCCCTCTCTTCCCATCTGATCTCATCTTAAATTGTTAACATCTGCAAGAACCTCATTCTCAAATAAGGTCACCTCCTGAGGGGCTGAGGTTAAGACTTCAACATAGCTTTTTTGTAGGGCACTTTTTTTTTTTTGAACTTTATTTTGTATTGGGGTGTAGCCGATTAACAATGTTGTGATAGTTTCAGATGAACAGTGAAGGGACTCAGGCATACATGTACATGTATCCGTTCTCCTCCAAACTCCCCTCCCATCCAGGCTGTGCAGGGCACATTTCAACCCATAATGCCACCCCCAGCCCAGGGCAGCCCCCTTTGTTCACTGGGCCATGTGGAACACAGTGGGTCAGTTTAGGGGGACCCAAGGCCACAGGCTGGTCTGATTGCCCCACTCTCTCCCCTCTCTGCGCCCAGTGCCTTTCAGCCTTGATCCCAACACCGCGGCTGGCTGGCTCTCCGTGTCGGACGACCTCACCAGCGTCACCAACCACGGCTACCGGGTGCAGGTGGAGAACCCGGAGCGCTTCTCGTCGGCGCCCTGCCTGCTGGGCTCCTGCATCCTGTCTCAGGGCTCACACGCCTGGGAGGTGGACCTGGGGGCGCTGGCCAGCTGGCGCGTGGGGGTGGTGCGGACGCGGCAGGATGCGTGCGCCGAGGGCCACGCGCACAGCTGCTACCATGACGCGCGCTCGGGCTTCTGGTACGTGGGCCGCACGCAGTGCGTGGACGGCGACCACTGCGTGACCTCGGACCCCGCCACGTCGCCGCTGGTCCCCGCCATCCCGCGCCGCCTGCGCGTGGAGCTGGACTGCGAGGAGGGCGAGCTGTCCTTCTATGACGCTGAGCGCCACTGCCACCTGTATACTTTCCACGCCCGCTTCGGGGAGGTGCGGCCTTACTTCTACCTGGGCGGCTCGCGCGGTGACGGGCCCCCGGAACCACTGCGCATTTGCCCACTGCGCATCACCATCAAGGAGGAGCTGGACAGCTGAGGACCCCCAGGCCCGCCGGACTCTGCTTGCATCCCGCAGTCGGCCCCGGTTCCTTGCTGTCCCTTCCCAAAGCCACGCTCGCCTCTCTGCCGCCTGCCTTCTTACCAGGATCTTCCCACTGACCTGCCCTGTCATTTTCTGTGGCTGCAGGCCACGGGCCTCTCCCCGCCTTTTTTTTGTCCCTTCTCTCCCCTCCTTTGAAGTCAGCCAGAAGACACTTCCTGGGTCAGGCTTTTCCCGAAGTTGTGGCATCCTCTGGATGTGAATTTCCTGATCCAGATTGTAAGATTTCTGGGGATAATGTTTGTTTCTAGAATGGGTCTGTTTAAAAAAATGTAGGTTTTTTGTTTTTTTAAAATCATTTTCCAAGTGTGGTGAGGCCAGCAGATGGGAGGGGACTGCTGTTGAAAAGTTTGTTTACTTACAGTTCCCAGGAGAAGGGGTGCTGCTGGGCCGGGGCTGGGGGGGGGGGGGGGCGGACCAGGGGAAGCACCAGAGTCCTTAGGAGGCAAGGGGCGTGCCTTGCATGGACAGGAACAGTGGAGGCAGGGTGCTGGGTGAGTGGGTTTATGATCGGCAAATCTGAATACTTTTCACAGGTTCTGGGGCAGAGCGGCTGCCCCTAGTTGTCCTGAAACCTGAATGTGGGTTGATTGTGCATGTATGCGTGCTCAGTCATGTCCAACTCTTTGTGACTTTATGAGCTGTACCCACCAGACGCCTCTGTCCGTGCAGTTTTCCATTCAAGAATCCTGAAGTGGGTTACCATTTCCTATTCCATGAAATCTTCCTGATATAGGGATTGAACCCACATCTCCTGCATTGGCAGGCAGCTTCTTTACCGCTGAGCCACCTGGGAGGCCTTTGGGTTGATTAGCCCAGGGGATTATTGGCTTGGAGTGGAGCCCGGTGCCAGCTTGGCACAGGTGGTTGGGGTACCGTCTTGCATGTAAAAGGTTGACTGCATTCAAAAGGCGCACTCACAGGGGAGTTGTTTGCTGTCTGCAGGAACTTGCTAGCCAGGGAAGCCCCAGGAGCTAGAGTGTCAAGAATTCAGAAAAGAAGAAAATATGGTTATTCCAGCACCATTGCCATGGCTTTGGGCAGGACCCATGCCCTGGCTAGTCTGTCACTTTATACCGGTATTTAAAGCTGCTCTGTGGGCCTCGGTGGGGCCCTTCAGGGCGAGGGTGGGGACAAGGCTGCCCATCCAATCTAACTTATAGATTAAGACTTCTTGCACAATTTCCTCTGAACAGAGTTTCCAGAGCACTTTAAAAAACAATTTAAATACCACGCTTTTCACTTTCCTCATCTGCAGATGAGATAGTAGATCTGGAAGGTGATGGATGCGCCGCAGTTGTGTGGAGGACCTTTCTCTGGCTCCTCTCACAGGTACAGGAGGAGGAGGAGAGGGGCCCTTTGTGTTAGGAGAGAAGGGAGGCGGTTCTGTCCAGGGAGGGGTTGGTGTCAGGAACGAGGATGAGGGGGCTCCAGGACTCTGGTCTTTGCTGACCAGAGACCTCAGCCTGCTCATTCTTGTTCTGCTGCCTTTTACATCTTCATCCTGATTTCTTCTCCCCCTACTGTGCCTCCAGACTCCTATCCCCACCTTTTCGTCTTCACACATGCCTCTGGAGAGTTTTTAATTGTTACCTCACTGTGTCCTGGGACAGGGAATGTCTCCCCGTAGGAGCAGTGTTCTAATGAACACTTTTCTTTACTGAAGACTCACAAACTTTCTCCTGCTTGTGTCTCTTGGTTCACTGAAATGGACATTTTAAACAGAAATGATGATTCAAAACTAAAAATTGGTTATAAGTGTGATGTGCCCATCATTGGTGGCCAGGGGAGGGAGGTGGTAGGATATACCACTGAGTCAAGGGGACCAGGTGCAGGAGAGGGGTGAGGATGATGGCAAAGGGGTGGATGTGAGCTGAACGGCCCCTCTAAAGATGCTCAGACTCAGCAAAGCTCAAGGCACTTTGGACCCAACACATCTGAGTCCAGTATGTACTTTCTGCCATAAAGTATTTTATCTAGCCCATCAAATGCAAATCACTACCTAATAAATATTGATCTGAAACTATTTTGTTAGTAGTTGTAAACTTTTAAAAATGTTTTTCCTTTCCACCTGAGGTGTTGGATGGGCTTTGTTTTGATTTTACAGGATATTGTGGATTGCCTAGGCCCCTTTTTACCAAAATAAAGTGTTTGAGCCAAAGCACACTTTTTTTTTTTTTTTTTGACATTTCCTTTCAGTGTTCTCTTCAGTGTTCTCATGAGCAAAAAATTTCATTCACCTTGTAGCATGTATTCAATGTTTTTGTTTTTGTCATTGGATAATCTATTATATGGATATATACTGCATTTTACTTACCAACTCTTCAGTTGGTGAAAACATTTTGATTGTTTTCACTTTTTGCCATTATGAATAATGCTGCTGTAAACATTTATGTGCAAGATTTTGTGTGGACATGTGCTTTTTGTTCCCTTGGATAGGTAACTAGGTGCAGACTTTCTGGATCATGTGCTGACTCTTGTTTAACCTTTTGAGGGACTGCCAGGTCATTTTCCAGTGTGGCCGCACCTTTGTATAGTCTTACCAGTAATGTAGCGAGGTTCCAGTTGGTCCATATCCTCATTAGCGCTTGTTACTGTCCGTCTTTTAACTTGGGCATCCTAGTACATGTCAGGTCATATCTAATTGTAGTTTTGACTTGGATTTCCCTAATGACTCATGGTATCGAGCCTCTTTTCAGGTGCTTATTGTCTGTTTATTTACCTTCTTAGGAGAACTGACTTCAGATCCTTTGCCCATTTTAAAATCTTTTTTTGTTGTTTTTACTATCCAGTTGTGAGAGTTCTTCATACATTCTAGATACAAGTCCCTCATCAAGTACATGACTGCCAGAAATTTTCTACCACTCTGTGGTTGTATTTTCACTTTTTGGAAGGTGTCCTTTGAAGCACAAAAGTTTTCATTTTGGGGTCCGGTTTATTTTTCTTTTTGTCTGTATATCCTTTGACACTGCCCTTAAGCCAGTCGATTCAGGTTCTAGACCTTGGCTCAGGCATGGGCAGCCATCTCAGCATGGGTAGCTGTTCTGTTGACAAGGAGCCCTAGTTCAGGAGCCCATTCTTCCCTTGAGCCCTCCTACCCACGTGATGTGACGATTGAGTGTGTGCATGGGAGCCCAGGTAAGCTGTACCCGGAGGTTTTATAATTTGGCAGCATCTTTGGTAAAGAGAAAGCAGCCGGAACCAGAAATCCAGATTCCTACACCCAAGTCCCAACCGTATGATTTATGAGCTACTGAGCCTTTGAGCCTCTGCTCCCTCATCTAAATGAGGATTTAGGGTACCTACCTCAGGTTATTGTAGAGATTAAATGAAGGGATTGGGGGGTACACATACTTTGTATTATGTCCTAAACATACTATAGACTCAATGTGTGTTGGCAGATTCTTCAGAAAGTGGAAGATTTTGAATGCTGACATTATTATTCATGTTAATGAAAAACCCCAAAGGAAATTGAGAAATGAACTTACATTGGGAGTGCTTAAATTTCTTGAGACTGGAAGGTTATAAACATAAAACTTACATTTATTAAAAACAACATGGGTAAATGGTTATGTTATAATGACTGAGAAGACTAGGATTTATACATATAGACATGCAGCACACAATTTGTCTCTAATTTGTGTGTGTTGTTTGGTGAGATCACCCACTTAAGTGGCTGTAAACTCAAAAGGTACAAAAGAACAGCCTCTCCCACTTCTGCCCAGACACTCAGCTCCCTTCTTTGTGGACAGTCATATTACCATGAAAAAAATCCAGAGGGATTTCATGTACAGCAGTATGCTGTTGTGAGTATATTCTGGTTCCCCCAATGCACTGTAATTTAAAAGCAGATACTTCGGGGGGCTCTCCTGGTGGCTCGGTGGTACAGAATCCACCTGCCAATGCAAGGAGACATGGGTTCGATCCCTGGTCCAGGAAGATCCCACATCCCAGGGAGCAGCTAAGCCTGTGCGCCGCAGCAGCTGAATCTACCCCTAGAGCCTGTGCTTTGTAAGGAGAAGCCACAGTGAGAAGCCTGTGCTCACAGCAACTTGAGAAAAGCCTGCACAGCAGCGAAGACCCGGCACAACCAAAAATAATAAACAAAAGCAGATATTCCAGGTCTGCATCTCTAAGCAACCCAACAAAAGGAGACAACTCAAAGGATGTTACTAAGATAATTTCCTCCCCTCTAAGAGGAGGTTTGTCATGGATGTTTTCATGTAGTCAGCTCAACTGGTGCATTCAGCTTCTTGTTTATTTCACCCTAAGGTTTTAAAACAGGGAAAAAAACAAAGTGGAATTTAGCTGCTCATGACATGGAAGACAAACCTTACACTTGAGACCTCAACATACGTTTTTAAAATCTCAGTCCTAACCAAGGTATCTAGTGACCTACATAGCTAGTGTGTTAGTGGGGGATGAATGACCTGGGTTCAAAGTCTGCCTCAACAACTGTGTGACCTTGGGAGAGTTACCTAACTTCTCAGTGCGTTACTTTCATTATGTGAAAAATGGAGATCTTAAGATGAGTGGAGATAATAACCTACCTTATAAGGTGGTCATGAGATTAAGTGAGCAAATGTGTAAAATAGGACAAGGTCTGACATGTACTTGGCAGTTGAGAGTTCACTATTGTTTTACTTGGCTGTGCCACTATAGAGCTCTGGTACTTCAGATAAAGCCATTCAACTTCTCATCTGTAAACAGGGAAATGAGGACATGTGCATGATTTTTGAAGGTCTTTTCCAGTTCTAATGTCCTTTGATTCACAGTTTGTGTCACTAGCAAAGGCTGGTATCCTGCACACGGTAGGGGCTGCTGATTCCAGGTGCTGCAGCTGACCAGCATTCAAGAACCTGAGTGTGGTTTGGTATTAGGAGCCTTGTTTCCTCATGTGTTGAGTCTGGAGAAAAACTAAATAGTCATCATGTTTG